AGAACTTGGCGAGATCCTCGCGCCCAGACGCCACCTCGAACCCCGTCGCCTTGGCGCGGGCCACCGACGCGCGGTGGAGCCTGGCCGCCTCGTCGCAGCCTCTGGCCGAGGAGGTGCCCCAGAAATGCTGCTGGTCGACCGCCCTCTCCCAGCGGCTGCAGTCGCGCTGGCGGATGCGCGACCAGATTCTGGCCAGCAAAGGCAGCAGGCCGATTGGCCTCTGCCCGCCCTCCGCCTCGGCCATGAAGACGACGGAGATCGCGCCCAGAGCTCACCGCAGAAGGGAGCTCGCTCCCTGGCGTCGAGGCTAGCCGCCAGCTCCTCGACCACCTCGCCCCCGAGCACCAGAAACAATCGGGGATGGAAGGCATCCCACCCAAGGCCAGCGCCTCTGCTAAAGCCCAAGGCCGCCTCGCGGACATCGCCCGCCGCGATGGGCGGGAGCTGCCGCGGCGCCCCCCATACCCGGGGGCGTCGACGCCCCCGGCGGCCCAGGTGCCCCCACAGCGGGCTCCCGTCCAACAGGGCCTTCTCCAGAGCAGCCTGTCCCACCAGAGCGAACGGCTTCTCCGAGTCAGGGTCGAGGATCGCGGCCGGCTCCTCGCGCGCCCCCCCTATCAATTCGCGGGCCGCTGATCCCCCCCCTCGAAGGCCAGCTCCGTGAAGTCGTTGGGGCTTCTGCTCGACGACCGCCTCGATCATGCCCAGCAGCTGGTCGCCTGCCGCCATGTTGTGGCTGATATCGTCCCACAGCGCCGCCACCTGCCCGTCGCTCGGCGGCTGCGACGAGCGCTGGGCCAAGAGGGGCCCGTTCCTGCCCATGGCCCCCCAGATGGCCAGGCCTCGAGTCCTCGCGCGGGGCCCCCCCCAGTGCCCAGCTGGCGTCGCCTCAGCGCCACGTGCCTAAAAGTGAAGCACACCCGCAAGCCCGAGGCTCGATCGCTGCGGTTGGCCGCCCTCGCAGCTTCGAGAGAGGCCTTCGAAAGCTTCGGCCCTCGCGACCAGCCGCGGTGGCGCTGCGCCTCGGCCTGCTGCAGGCCGTGGAGCCCAATGAGCTCCTCCTCTGCCACGTCGAAACACTGGCCGATGGCGTTCTCGCGGCCCCTGGGCCCGAACGTGCCAGACGACCGTCGCCGCGAAGTCGCCCCTACGCTTCCTCGCCCCATCGCCCAGCTCGAGATCTAGCCTGAACTTCTTCGGGCCCATCAGGACCTCCACCATCGGCTGGGCCCAGCGAGCGCCCAACTGCATGCGAACCAGGCAGCGGGGTCCGTTCGGCGCGTCGAGCCTGCTCACAACCGACTGGACCAGCGGTTCGATCTCCCGCGACACGACGAAGAAGTCGCACGTCTTGCCGTTGCAGGCGCGCTCAAGGGGGGCTGCCACCGAGGCCCCGACCAAGCTGAGGGAGTCTGAGTCGATCAGGCCATGCGCTTCGACGTTCCAGTCGCCATCGATGGTGAAGGGCATCTCCAGATGCGCCAGCCAGCGGTGGAGCTCCGCCAGCACCGCCAAGCCGTGCTCGTCGAGGCCGACGCTGTCCTCCAAGCACTGGGCGACCGCCGCCAACTGGCAGCCTGGACTCAGAGAGAGAAGGCGAGCCGCCACGCGGCGCGGCGGACCCTCCCAGGTCTGCGACGGCCGACCCCGGGAGCGTGGAGGTCACGAGCGCAACGTCGGCAGCCGCCGCGTTGGCGTCGCCGCCTGTCCGGTCGACCGGGCTGGCCGCCAGCTGCACGGCATTGGCGCGCGCCCAGCCGCGCGCCTGCCCCACCGCCGCCTGCGAGGTGAAGCGGGCCCCCTGAATCATCAACGCATGAGGGGTGGACCCGAGGCTGCGCATCCACTCGAAGCCGCCCAAGCCGCTGCCCCAGGTGTTGCCATTGTACGTGGCTAGTTATCCTGAGGACCCCGTCATGGCTCCCGTCAGGGGGCGCTGACTGCCCACTCGGCGCCACCGCGAGGTCCGCGAGGGCGAGCGGGAAGCGGTGGCAGCCTTCAGCGGCTTGGCCTCGGGCGGCCAAGGCGCCACCTGGGCCTTCGGGCCCGCGCCACGCGGCCGCGGCCGCAGCTGCGTGGACGAACTCGCCCGCACAAGGAGGCCCCCGCGCGCCTCCACCCGCGCCCCGGGCAGCCTCGGCGGCGCACGTCAGCTCCATCAGCACGCAACCCGTGTGGTCAAACCTGCCGCTGCCGCTTGAGCTCCATCTCAGCAGCGCCCTCCATCTGGGACAGCGCGTCGATGAAGGCATTGATTCTGGGCCTCCGAGAAGCGGACGAGCCTGACGGCAGGCACGGGCCCGCCGCCACCAGCCGCAGGAGCAGCAGCAGCCCCAGGAGCAGCTTCAGCCCCCTGAAGCCGTCGCTCGCCTAGTCCAGCTTGGCGAAAATCTACTGCTGCAGCCTCTTCCAGAGCTCGGTACCCAGGAAGCCGCGAAACTCTGGGTCGCTGTCCGCGTCGGCCTTGATGTCGAGCCCCGTCGCCGCGAGCGGGGCGACCGCCGACTTGGCTGCGAGCTCCTCCTGGAGCGCCTGGACCTCCTTGGCCTTTTCCACGAGTTCGGCCTCCTTCTGGGCCTTCTCGCGGGTGAGGCGCGCGAGGCCCTCCTCGACCTCAGCCAGCTCCGCCTCCAGCCGCCGATGCTGCTTCGCGACACGGTCGACGTCTTGCTTGCACCTGCGGCGGGCCACCGCGGGCGGGAGCAACGACTTCTTCTCAGCCCGCATCTTCTCCAGCCGCTCTGTGAGGATCTGCTTGGCGTCGTCGTCGTCGCCAAGCAGCGCCACGGCCCTGGCATTCCGCCCGACAGCCTGAAGAACGCCAGCCTCTGCGATCGAGTGGCGTCGTCGTCCATGGCGTCGTCGCCGTCCACCTCGACCACCTCGGCCTGGGCCCGCCACGGCGGCGCGCGGGGCTCGCGGTCATCCGAAGACCCACCCCGCTGGCCGCCCTCGACCTTCGCCAGGCGCTTGCTGAGGTCCTTGTAGGCCTTCTCCCGTCCACCTGGGGGCTGGCCACCGCGGCCCGTCGAGGCTGAACCCCCGCCCCCGCGACCTGCGAGGGCCTTCTCGTGCTCCTTCCGCGCGGCGGCGGCGATGCGCTGGGGCGCCGGCTTGCCGCAGGCGCAGATGACCCTGCTCGCCCAGTTTTCCGAGCGCCCGCAGCTGCAACCCCAGTGCGGGGTCTTGGGCCCGCGGAGCACCGCCACCGGGCCGCCGTCTCCTGGCGCCAGTGCTGCACTGCGCGAGGAAGAAAGCCTGCTCGCCCGCGGGGCACGGCCTGCAGCCGAGGCGCTGGGGCAGACCAGGCCTCGCAGGAAGGATGGAGACTGGCTCGGGAAACAGAGCAATCCCACTTTGGCACGAGGGCCTGGAAGCCCTCTCGCGCAAGCATCTTGAGCCAAAATGGCTACGGAGGGGACGCAGGGAGGGAGGCAGGGACGCAGGGAGGGAGGGAGGGACGGGAGGGAGGGGACGGGAGGGACGCAGGGAGGGACGGGGAGGGAGGGACGCCGGGAAGAGCGGGAGCGAGACCGTGGTTCCCCTCATTAGCGGCGCCTGCCCGCCAACGACTCGCGGGGGCGGAGGGGCGGCCGCGGACATCCGATACCTCCCCTCGGGCGGGTGGAAGGAGGAGGAGGAGGAGGAGGAGGAGGAGGAGGAGGGGGAGGAGGAGGAGGAGGAGGAGGAGGAGGAGGAGGAGGAGGAGGAGGAGGAGGAGGAGGAGAGGAAGGGGAGGAGGAGGAGGAGGAGAGGGAGGAGGAGGGGGGGAAGGGGGGAACCTACATGGGGGGTGAATGATGAGGGCCCGAAAGAGGCACCTGGGGCCACTTATGGGCCTCTGCTGGCTCCAAGAGGGGCCCTGGAGTGCCCCTTTGGGCCTTCTTCATTCACCCCCCATGAAGGTCAACCCCCCCATCACCATCAGGTCGGGCATGTCCCCCTACAGGCAGGTTCTGAACGAACTCAACAACAAAGATTCAAACATATTCCATGAAACCAGAAAAAAAAACATACACTATTTTTTAGGGCAAAAGAGACATGGGCCTATAGGGTTATAGGACTGTAGGGCTATTAGGACTTTAGGGCTATGGGGTTATAAGGCTATAGGAATATAGGACTATAGGGCTACAGGGCTATAGGGCTATGGGGCTATAAGGCTATGGGGCTATAGGGCTATAGACTTATAGGGCTATAAGGCTATGGGGCTATAAGGCTACAAGGCTACAGGGATATTGGGCTATAGGGCTATTGGGCTATGGGGTTACAGGGCTATTAGGGCTATAGGGCTATAGGGCTATTAGGGCTATAGGGCCACCTCCGGGCACCCCCGGGCACCTCCGCGCCACCCCTGGGCACCCGGGCCGGCCACCGAAAGCGGCGGCGGGCCTCACTTGACCATCTGAATCCGCCAGAACCCCTACAGAGGCAAGCTCCGATTGGGGAGAGAATATCTCAAAAGAGTCCAAAAATCGCCCCCCGACATCTTTTAAACTACTACTGCTACTATTGAGTATTCCTCCTGCAGAGGGCCACGCCCGACCGAACAGTACATTACCACCCGCCCGATCCCCGCGCAGCCGCGCGGCCTCCGGGTCTGGCCGGGCGCCAGCGGGGCACGGCAGAGGGCGCCCTGCCACCAGCCAGGTCCAGCGCGAGAGCTGAGCGCCTCGCCCCCCGCGGGGGGGGCCCTTCGCATCGACGAGCTCTCGAGAGGGTCGCCGAGGCCGACGGTTCCCAAGGGGGCCGGCCTGGCCTGGCTGGTGGAGCACAGCTCCCCATGTGTGGCTGGCCTGGCCGGTGGAGCATAGGAGGAGGAGGAGGAGGAGGAGGAGGAGGAGGAGGAGGAGGAGGAGGAGGAGGAGGAGGAGGAGGAGGAGGAGGGGGAGGGGGAGGGGGAGGGGACGGGAAGGCGATACTCGAACTGGGCGGGACGATTCCTGCCTAGTCGGCCCCGCAAGTCCCTTGCCGCCCCGGCGCTGCAAAAATGGAACGGTGTCCTGTGTTCATCGTCGTGGGAGAAAACGCCTTCCAGATAATGCTCTCACAGATGTTGGTAGCGATGAACAGCGAGATCCCCGAACCAATGCCGTATCCCTTCTGCATGAGCTCGTCCTTCGCCGTCGACGACAAAGAAACATAGAGGATTCACGATCTAGGCGGCTCGACCCTAAACTCCACCCCTGGCATCCCTGGTTCTGCACCGAAGCACGACCAAACAAAACTGATGCCAGCAGCCAGACGTGAAAGTGATCTCCACAGTCGTCCAGATTTGTCACTGCCTCTCCTCTGACAAGGAAGACCATTGGCACAGTGACCGCAGTGGCCCACAGCGCTGCGCTCGATGCGAGCCTTCAACTCCTGCAGCTTCTCATCTCGTCCTCTACTTCCGAAAGAATGTCTCTAAATATTAACTACCCCATCCACCAAGATCAGGCCCATGAGATACCCACCGCCTCATCTTAGCCCAACCGTGCACATGTTCTGTTGGTACAATCTCTGGCAAAAAACGCCCCACGCCAGCCGCAACCGTGCCCTCAGCACGTGATGCATGTTAGCTGCCTGGCAAAGGTTCGGCAGATTCTAGGGGCGGCAACCTCCTCGCCCGCAGACTCGTGCAGGGGACGGCGTCCCTGATTACTGACTCCCTCATCAGCGCCCTTCTCGGCCCAGACGGTCCCAGGACGGCCCCCAGACCGCCCCAAGAGCGCCGCAGCACGGCCGCAGGGCACCTCAAGCCAGGCCCGAGACGACCCGAGGACCCTCCATAGGCCCCAAGGCGTTGCCGAGAGGCCGCAGCGAGCAGTACGCAGGAAATGAGGAGCTGCTGAGCGGTCGGATTTACTGCTCATCCTACCCATCCTGAGGGGGAGCGACGTGGAAGTGTCTCAGGGAGGATGCATCGCCGATAGATTGACGTCAGGCTCTCGCTCCTGCGCGCGTTGGGGTGCCCGGGCCCCGGCCGGCGAGGAATGGCCGATTGGGGGGTCGACGCTTCTCCCCAGGGCCAGTCCCGCACCATGTCGTTGCCCCTGACCTCTTCCTGCTTCTCCTTCCCCTGGACCGTCGGATTCACTCGAGCCTGGCGCTCCCCCAGCTGACACACCAAGAGGCGTGCTTTCGAGAACAGCCGAAGCCAACCGAACACCCCTCCCAATCTCCCGCCTCCTCCTCTCGGGGGTTGCTAGAAGTGCCCCTGGCCCACGGTGCCCGCAGCTCTTGGCTCCATTTTGGAGCCCCTGGGGCCCTCTGGGCCTTGTGAGGGGTGCCCTGGAGTCCGTCTGGGCCCCCCCCAGAAGCAAGGGGGGACCTTGGGCCAGGGGTACTTCTAGCAACACCCGATCGTCCTGCTCCTCCTCCTCCTCCTCCTCCTCCTCCTCCTCCTCCTCCTCCTCCTCATCATCATCATCAGCAGCAGCAGCAGCAGCAGAATCATCAGCATCATCATCATCATCATCATCATCATCATCATCATCATCATCATCATCATCATCATCATCATCATCATCATCACCACCACCGCCACCACCACCATCATCAGCATCATCATCATCATCATCATCATCATCATCATCAGCATCATCAGCAGCATCATCATCATCATAATCATCATCATCATCAGCAGCAGCATCATTATAATCATCATCCTCATCCTCATCCTCATCCTCATCCTAATCCTCATCCTCATCCTCATCCTCATCCTCATCCTCATCCTCCTCCTCATCATCATCGACCTCGACACCATCATCATCATCATCATCATCATCATCATCATCATCATCATAATCAGCAGCAGCAGCATCAGCACCATCATCAGCATCATCAGCATCATCATCAGCCTCATCAGCATCATCATCAGCATCATCATCAGCACATCATCATCACCAGCAGCATCATCACAACCACCACCACCATCACCATCAACATCATCATCATCAGCAGCAACCTCAGCATCATCATCATCAGCATATCATCATCATCAGCATCATCAGCATCATCAGCAGCATCATCATCATCAGCATCATCAGCATCATCATCAGCAGCATCATCATCCTCATCCTCATCCTCACCCTCATCGTCAGCATCGTCATTATCATCATCATCATCATCATCATCGTCATCATCATCACCGTCATCATCATCATCATCATCATCAGCAGCAGCATCAGCATCATCATCATCATCATCATCATCATCATCATCGTCATCATCATCATTGTCATCATCATCATCACCAGCATCATCATCATCATCAGCATCATCATCATCATCATCATCATCATCATCATCATCATCCTTCTCAACACCCCCTTTCTCCACTCCTCCTCCTCCTCCTCCTCCTCCTCCTCCTCCTCCTCCTCATTCTCACCCTCCTCCTCCTCCTCCTCCTCCTCCTCCTCCTCCCCCATTCCCTTTCCCAACGAACAACCCTTCCTGTCGCTTCCCGAGGCCAGTCCCAAGGGCGGGCCGGGCGACTCGCCTGAGACATCTTTGCCACTCGCGAGCCTACAGCTTAGAAACTGGCATCGGCTTCACAGATGGAGGACGGTCCGTTTTCAAAATGTGGCTCGCGCCTTAGCGCCGCGCACATTCGCTCTGAAAAGTTGCAAGAGTTTCACGAATTAATGGCGGCTCCTTTTCAAAATGTGGCTCTCGCCTGAGCACCGCGCACACTCGTTTTAAACAATACGCGAGAGTTTCACGGATTTGTTTGTCGACTGCATCGGAGCAATGAACAAAATTTCACCGATTGTCATGTTAAACTGATGCGTATCCCCAAGTATTGGTGCAAGGTACCACCCCGAGTGACACCGAGGCCTCGCTCGACACAGCGCCCCGCTCGAAAGAGTTGCACAGCTCCTTTTTCGAGATGTGGCTCTCGCCTCAGCGCCGCGCATTCGTTTGACAACAAAGCAAGAGCTTCACTGATTCTCGTGGCTAACGTACCAGGAGCGGCGTTCTGAACAACTCGTGGGGCCGGAGGCCCAGGAATGATGTTCTGGAACGATGCAGGACCGCCAAGGCGCAAGAGTCTGGTTGACTCGTTGCGCTGAAATCATGTAAACGGTGTTTAAAACGGCGTTTTGTTGGGAAGCTGGGCGCGGACTGGCAAATCCGTGGCTGCTAAAACGGCTTCTGGAAGAAAAAATCATCCTAGCGAAGGACCCAATCATATGCAGTTGTGAGTAACGCGTTGTGCGTGCCGCTTGCGGTGGAGCTTCCTATAGGGCCACGAAACGCGTGAGGGACGTGTCAGAGTGGGTGGAGAAGGCGCACGCGGGCGATGCCACTGGGGCCTTCGGTGGGTGCCCTTCGCTGGAGTTCCCGATGAGGCCACGAAACGCTGTACTGGTTGGGGGAGACGCACGCGAGCGGTGCCACTGGGGTCTTTCTGTGGAGCTCCCTACGGAGCCACGAAACGCTGTACTGGGTAGTGGCCGACGCATGCGGGCGGTGCCAGTTGGGGATACGGTGGGGCCCCATATGGGGCCACGAAACGCTGTACTGGGAGGGGGACGCATGCGGGCGGTGCCACTGGGGCCTTCGGAATAGCTCCCTATGGGCCCACGAATCTGGAGGTAGGACAGGGGTACGCTATAAAGGGGTAAAGGGGACTCTGGTGATGCTCGCGGTCGCAGATAGCATCGCGATTTCCACGATTGGCACCATACCCCTTGATGCCACGCCGTTTCTCCGACCTCCAGAACGAAACGCTGCATTGGGTGGGGGGTCACATGCGGGCGGACCACTGGAGCTCCCTACGGGGCCACGAAAGGCTGGGGGCGCATGCGGGCGATGCCACTGGGGTTGGGTGGAGCTCCCAATCAATGGGGCAGCGAAATGGAGTACTGGGTGGTGGACGACGCATGCGGGCGGTGCCACTGGGGTCATTATGTGGATCTCCCTATGGGGCCACGGAACGCTGTACTGGATGGTGGCTGACGCATTCGGGCGGTCCCACTGGGACCATCGGTGGAGTCCCCTATGGGGCCACGAAGCGCTGTGCTGGGTGGTGGCTGACGCATGCGGGCCGTCACTGGGACCTACGGTGGAGCTCCCTATGGGACCACGACTGGGTGGGGACTGACGCATGAGGGCGGTGCCACTGGGGCCTTCGGTGGAGCCCCCTTTTGGGGCCACGAAGCGCTGTACTGGGTGGTGGCTGACGCATGCGGGCGGTCCCACTGGAACCTCCGGAAGAGCTCCCTATGGGGCCACGGAACGCTGTACTGGGTGGGTGAAAAGCAGAGAAGAAGGGCTGTGCTGGGTGGTGGTTGACGCATGCGGGCGGCCCCACTGGGACCTTCAGTGGAGCCCCCTATGGATCCACGAAACGCTGTACTGGGTGGGTGAAACGCAAGGGGGAAGTGGTTGACGCATGCGGGCGGTCCCACTGGGACCTTCGGTGGAGCTCCCTATGGGGCCACGAAACGCTGCACTGGGTGGGTGAAACGCAAGAAGGAACGCAAGGAAGACGGGCTGTGCTGGGTGGTGGTTGATGCATGCGGGCTGTCCCACTGGGACCTTCGGCGGGGCTCCCGCTGTGGGCGGTCCCACCGGGACCTTCGGTGGAGCTCCCTAAGGGGCCACGAAACGCTGTACTGGGTGGGTGAAAAGCAGAGAAGGAAGGGCTGTGCTGGGTGGTGGTTGACGCATGCGGGCGGCCCCACTGGGACCTTCAGTGGAGCTCCCTATGGGGCCACGAAACGCTGCACTGGGTGGGTGAAACGCAGGGAGGAAGGGCTGTGCTCGGTGGTGGTTAACGCACGCGGGCGGTTCCACTGGGACCTTCGGTGGAGCTCCCTATGGGGCCACGGAACGCTGTACTGGGTGGGTGAAACGCAGGGACGAGGGAGGGGAGAGGGGGATAGGGGAGGAGGGAGGGAGGAGGAAAGAGAACGCGGGGGCCTTCTCTTCAAAACGAAGACCCAACACCACAGGATGGTTGGGAACAATTTCCTGGAATCAAGCTAAGCGCACGGAATAGTAAACGGGCTGCTTCCTGGAAGAATGAAAACATTTGCCTGGAGCTCTGTTCTACCAGCCACGGGTTTGCCAGCTTCGCCCGGCTTCTGAGTTTTAGCACGCTTCAGGATCTTCAAACGGTTGTCTCCCAACGGGGGGCTTCCCTCAGTGGAAATTAACCCTTGTAGGGGCCAATGAGAAGGGAGCTTGCAGGGAGGATACATCCCAACATTGTTGATGAGTCTTGGATTTACACTTGGATTTACAATGGTCCTCCACCTGCTCCTCCTCCTCCTCCTCCTCCTCCTCCTCCTCCTCCTCCTCCTCCTCCTCCTCCTCCTCCTCCGCCTCCTCCTCCTCCTCCTCCTCCTCCTCCTCCTCTCCTCCTCCCTCCTCCTCCTCCTCCTCCTCTCCTCCTCCTCCTCCTCCTCCTCCTCCTCCTCCTCCTCCCTCCTCCTCCTCCCTCCTCTCCTCCTCCTCCTCCTCCTCTCCTCCTCCTCCTCCTCCTCCTCCTCCTCCTCCTCCTCCTCCTCCTCCTCCTCCTCCTCCTCCTCCTCCTCCTCCTCCTCCTCCTCCTCCCCTCCTCCTCCTCCTCCTCCTCCTCCTCCTCCTCCTCCTCCTCCTCCTCTCCTCCTCCTCCTCCTCCTCCTCCTCCTCCTCCTCCTCCTCCTCCTCCTCCTCCTCCTCCTCCCCGTGCCAATGCTGTTCTATACTCCTCTGGGGGAGTCGGCTGGGGACGCACGGGGCGCCACTAAGGGCGTGGATTCCCCACGCCCGACGAGCACCCCAGCAGAGCCCCCAGGGGAGTGAACAGCGGGGCGACAGTGGCAAGAGGCACGTTCAAGTGCCCTACCAGCACAAGGAGTAACCGCCTGAGGGGGTTAGGGAAGGGCTAGAATCAGAGCGTGGGCTGGGGCGAATGCCAGTCCCCAGCCACGCCAGGGGGGTAGAGAAGCAACGGAGACCGTATGCATCATGTAGGGTTCACACTTGTGGGGGGCAGAAGGGCCCAGACCCCTCGGACTAAGGGGCTGGGAGCGTGACCCCCTTGGCACCCCAATTTAACGCAGCACCCTTCATGGACTGGGAATCTGCTAGTGAGGAACCGACAAGACCACTTAGTGGACGTGGGGGGGGGATTCTTAAGGAGCCCGGAGAGCCGGGACAACAAGGTTCGCCTTGCATTGTTCATATTAGTCTTGGGGCGGCCCTGAGGCTTCACAGTCGTTGGGCGGCCCTGGGGCCTGGGCTGGCGCTTTAGGGGGCTTCACAGTCGTGGGGCAGGCCATCGCCCAACAGAGAGGTGCCCACGGCGCAGTCCGGGTTATTGGTGCCCCACAGTCGTGGGGCCCTTCTTGTAGCAGTAGGTGTCGACTTGTAGTATTGGAAGGTTCGCCCCCGCGGCCGCTCCCATAATAGGTGGGTGGCTTTCAAGGGGATAACCGTGTTTCACATGGACCCCATGGAGAGCAGTAGTAGGGGAGAGGTTTGCCGAGTAGGTATTGCTATCTAGTCGCGGGGTTACACGTGACCGTAAAGGTAAAGGGATAAGCGAGGGGCAATGTTAGGGCTTCACAGTCGTGGGGCGGCCCTCCTTTTGAGGGAGGATGAGAGTGGGGTTGTTAAAAGGGCACAGTCGTGGGGCGTTGCTCGCCTGCCTCTCATTGTGAGAGGGGGGTGGGCAAGCTTCAAAGTCTGGGGGAAGGGATGAATTGCCACTTAGTGGTGGGGGGACAAGTGACAGCGAAGGGCAAAGGTAAGAGTTTGGCGATAATAAGGCTTCACCGTCGTGGGGCCGCCCTCCTGTTGAGGGAGGATGAGAGTAGGGTAGTTAAGCGGGCTTCACAGTCGTGGAGCGGCCCCCCTCCAGAAGGAGGACGGTGGCGCATTCCATATAACGGGCTTCACAGTCGTGGGCCGTGTCTCGCCTGGTAGGCATCCGTAGGTAGATTACATAGTACCAGAGTAATAGCAGTCGGGGTACGGCATATACAGTGCGGCTGGCCGCTGCCGCCGCCGCTTCGCTTCATTAGGTTGACGGTCCTGCTCCGTTTTGTTAGGGCACGATACGGTACCACTTGACCCGTGCCTTAAACGACAGCCGAGACAATCCTCCTCCTCCTCCCTATGGGACACACAGTCCTGGCAAATGGGACGCACAGTCCCTGTTATGGGACACGCAGTCCTGGCAAATGGGACGCGCAGTCCCTGCTATGGGACACACATTCCTGGCAAATGGGACGCGCAGTCTCGATTATGGGACGCACAGTCCTGGCAAATGGGACGCACAGTCCCTGTTATGGGACACGCAGTCCTGGCAAATGGGACGCGCAGTCCCTGCTATGGGACACACATTCCTGGCAAATGGGACGCGCAGTCTCGATTATGGGACGCACAGTCCTGGCAAATGGGACGCACAGTCCCTGTTATGGGACACGCAGTCCTGGCAAATGGGACGCGCAGTCCCTGCTATGGGACACACATTCCTGGCAAATGGGACGCGCAGTCTCGATTATGGGACGCACAGTCCTGGCAAATGGGACGCACAGTCCCTGTTATGGGACACGCAGTCCTGGCAAATGGGACGCGCAGTACCTGCTATGGGACACACATTCCTGGCAAATGGGACGCGCAGTCTCGATTGTGGGACGCACAGTCCTGGCAAATGGGACGCACAGTCCCTTTTATGGGACACGCACTCCTGGCAAATGGGACGCGCAGTCCCTGCTATGGGACACACATTTCTGGCAAATGGGACGCGCAGTCTCGATTATGGGACACACAGTCCTGGCAAATGGGACGCACAGTCCCTGTTATGGGACACGCAACCCTGGCAAATGGGACGCGCAGTCCCTGCTATGGGACACACATTCCTGGCAAATGGGACGCGCAGTCTCGATTATGGGACACACAGTCCTGGCAAATGGGACGCGCAGTCCCTGTTATGGGACACGCAGCCCTGGCAAATGGGACGCGCAGTCCCTGCTATGGGACACACATTCCTGGCAAATGGGACGCGCAGTCTCGATTATGGGACACACAGTCCTGGCAAATGGGACGCGCAGTCCCTTTTATGGGACACGCAGTCCCCGCGCATTGGAGGATGTCCCATGTAAATCGGAGGTGAGGGGGAGAGATCGAAGTGGAACGGAGAGCCCCCCTACCGGGAAATCGGTTTCGGTTTCGTGTTCGTGCGCGTTGGTTACTCCCCCCCCCCCCGAAACCTCCTTATCACCCGAAGGGTGGTCGTTTTGGTACGGAAGAGGCGTCTCTTGTCTGGTATTGCGTTATTTGGTCTCCTCATCCTACTGTTCCTCTTCCTCATCCTATTCCTCCTCCTCGTGCTTTTGGCCCCGTGCCCCAGACACGTCGTGGAGGAGTAGCCAGGTAGGTTCATGCTTTGACATGTTGATAGTTCGCAGACCTTATTAGGCCGTAGCAGGCCTGGGGTCTCCGCAGTTGCACGCGGGCCACAGGTGGCAGTGTCAAGCATGGGGGTGGGGGGCTTACCAGCCACCGTGCAAAGGGCCCGCGTGTAGGCCATGGGTGGCCACAGGCCGTGCAGTGGAGGGCATTGGCGCGAGTGTTGCACAGCATAGGCGTGGTAGCAGCCGCATCTTCACAAGTGTTGCATCCATGGGAGTACGGGGATTGGCACGGGGCAGCTAAGTGTGCTTCACAGTCGTGGGGTGGCCCTCCTCTGGGAAGAGGCCAGGCGGTTGTAAACCATCCTGCTTCGCAGCCGTGGGGGACTTTACTCGTGCATTCCAGGTTGCATCCCACTTGAACTAGCATGGCATACCAAACAGTCAGGTAGGTTCATGCTTTGACATGTTGATAGTTCGCAGACCATAGTAGGCCGTAGCAGGCCTGGGGTCTCCGCAGTTGCACGCGGGGCATAGGTGGCAGTGTCAGGCATGGGGGTGGGGGGCTTACCAGCCACCGTGCAAAGGGCCCGCGTGTAGGCCATGGGCGGTCATAGGCCGCGCAGTGGAGGGCATTGGCGCGAGTGTTGCACAGCATAGGCGTGGTAGTAGCCGCATCTTCACAAGTGTTGCATCCAGAACATGGCGTGCCACCATTGTTAGGGCACGAAGCGGTAAAACATTACCCGTGCCTTAAACGACAGCCGTGACAATCCTCCTCCTCCTCCTCCTCCTCCTCCTCCTCCTCCTCCTCCTCCTCCTCCTCCTCCTCCTCCTCCTCCTGTCCAGAAGCAGCACGATCACGCCCGCAAAGAACAGCTCGAAGATGATCAAGAGGGCGTTCCCCGCGCCGAGCTCGCCTGAGGACGGGAAGTGACGAGGGCAGGAGAAGCGCTAGGAGAAGATGGGGAGCATATGTAGGTGAGGGAGCGAGGGAGGCACCTGCGCGAGCGGAAAACCGAGCCGAGTGGGCTGGCCCGAAGGCGCTTCGAAGCGCATCACGGCTGAAGCTGAAGCCAAAGCTGGAGTGCACACAAAAAGAAAATCGGGGATGGACAGACCCCCCTTTAGTAAAACGTGGTTTAGTGAAAACGACTTGAGGCCCAAACCTGGCGGGCGCAAGCCTGGAAAATATCGGCCACGGCGCCCTCTCGAGAACCGAACACGGACAATTCACTAATCGACGTGTCACTGTTGGGGGTTCTGTCTACCCCCAGAAAAGGGTCATCCTGCAGGCTCGGGAGTGGAGGGGCAGAGAGGCGTTCCGCCCAGGTACAGGCAAAGTGACCTCTGGAAGAACACGCCGCCCCCGCTGTGCATCAGCAGCGGAGCGCGCGGAGCGCTGTCGGACTCGACGTGCACGCCTGGCCCCAGTGGACATTCTCGGGGTTTGCTGAAGGTGTCCCAGCTCAAGATGTCCCCGGCTTTTCGCTCCACTATGGAGCCCCTGCAGCCATCCAGGCCTCCTGAGGGGGTGCTCTGGAGGCCTCCTTGGAAACCTCTGGGCCAAGGAAACATTTGGCAACACCGGACGTTCGCTTCACAGATCGGCGAGCGCCGCGGCTACGGGGAGCAGATCGGAAGCACATGAGCGAGGGGACCGAGGGTCGCAAGCGGCGTTCGTGGCTTGGCGGAGGTAACATCCTCGTGGACACCGCAACGGAACGGCTGCGTGCTCGAAGAAGCGCCTCCCCTTCCCCCCTTTCTCAAAGGGGGGGCGGCAGCAGCAGCAGCAGCAGAAGCCGAAGCATCAGCAGGAAGCAAGAGGCAGGGAGGCAGGCAGGCACAAAGCAAGGAAGGAGGAAAGAGGTTGGACGAGGGACGAGGGAGGAAGCGAGAAAGAGCGCAAGGAAGCAAGGAGGAAGGGGGGAGGTGAGATGGTGGGACAAAGGAGGAAACGGGAGGCGGGAGATGGGAGGGAGGAGAGAGGAGGGAGAAGGGAGGAGGGAGGACTAGGGAGGCGGGAGGAGGGAGGAGAGAGGAGGAGCAAGGTGGGAGGGAGGGAGGTGGGACGAGGGAGAACGACGAGAGCGGTGAGAAGGAGGGAGGCGCAAGGGGAAGAGGGCACCGGCGCGGCGAGCGGCTTTCGGACTGCCCGGCGCACGGAGGTCCCCGTACATGCCGCTCATCACGTAGGCCACCGCCTCGCCCATGGTGATGAGCATGCCGAAGAGCTGCGGGGGAGGCGGCTGCTCTCCCGAGGCAGCGTCACGGCCCGCGGCGAGTGGGCGAGGGGGCCGAGGCGGAGCCGGGAGCTGGGAGGGGGCGGCCGGGCGGCGGGAGACGGGCGACAGCGGGAGCGCAAGAGAGAAAGAGGGAGAGAGAGAGAGAGGCGAAAGAGGGGAGGGCGGAGCGAGCGAGCGACAGGGGGGAGGAGAGTGTGAAGCAGGAGCGAGGCGGAGGGCGGGGCCGGGGGAAGCAGGGCAAGGCCGGGGGCGCAGGTCAGCAGAGGGTCAGACGCGGGGTCCGCCCCCCGGCGCCGTCGCCCCGTCTGGAGCGCCGGCCTTCTGGGCGCCGTTGAACAGATTGCGGTCCTCCTTCAGGCTCTGGTCCACGTCGATGATCCGGCTGCCGGCCAGCAGCTGCATCACCATGCCTCGCGGGGCGCGCGCGCACGCGCGCGCTCGCGCGCCACGGAGCGGAGCTCCGAAACCGCGGGGCTGCCCAGTGTCTGGACCTGGTGCTAACATGAGCCAACTGGCAAGGCTGCGTGAGCGCTGCCCCTGCCGGTCAAAATCCTCGCGGGCCCCAGGGCATCTGTGAGGCCGAGCACTTGCGAGCGGGCACGAGCGAAGCGACCGCCCACGAGGGAACTCTCACCCGTCCGAGTCGATGAGCGGCGGGGGTGCGGCAGGTTCACGGAGCGGTGTCGTCGGCATCAGTCCCTCACTAGAAGAAGAAAAAACGCCACAAACATAAACTTTTGGCGCTCCGCGCGGATTCCTTGGATCCGCGCTGGACTGGACCCCCCCTCCCTGGCGCGCGGAGCGCGCCAAGGGCGGCGCCGGAGGCGCCGATGGGAATGGGGGGGCCAGCGCTGATCCAAGAAATCCGCGCGGAGCGCCAAAAGTTTATGTTTGTGGCGTTTTTTCTTCTTCTAGTGAGGGACTGATGCCGACGACACCGCTCCGCGAACCTGCCGCACCCCCGCCGCTCATCGACCCGGACGGGATCCAAGAAATCCGCGCGGAGCGCCAAAAGCTTATGTTCATGGCGTTTTTGTCTTCTTCGAATGTCGTCGGCAGCAGTCCCTTACACCGCGCGTCCCGCTCGACGTCCGAGCGATCGCGGCCTTCCGACTGGCACAGATCGCCGTGCACACCCTCCTGGCTTTTTTTGCCAGGGAGGCACTGCAGCACCATTCCTGGGCCCAGGAAATTCATCTGGCCAGGATCGGCCTAGGAGTATAGTTGGCGTCGAGTCCAGACAGGTCGGTGTAAGTGCACAGTTGGAGTCCTGTGGGCAGTACGACGACGACGGCGACCAACAGAAGAGGAAGAGGAAGAGGAGCAGGAGAGGGAGCAGAAGAACCAGTGCGTTCAAACCCGTCATGAGCTAGAGTGGCACTCCGGAAGTAGGCCAACCTGGAACACACAAGTTCACAACAGAAAAAGCATTCGAAACCACGTGCAGCAAGCATTTCCCTCGAGTCCGCTTCGGTCTCCCAGCTTGCAATATCCCCTCCCTACCTCGCCTCCTCCTCCTCCTCATCATCGTCCTCCTCCTCCACGCCACTTTCCATCCCGATCCTCCTCTTGCACAGCTCTACCTACCTCCTGCGGGGCTCTGTCTTGCTAGAATACACAAGCCACCATAGAGGTAAAGACGGACACACGAAACGCAGCACCGATGTGCAAAGCAGCGCACGTGAAAGACACTCTGAATTGAACATATGTGGCGCGTGTCGTGCGCAAGGCTAAACCAATGCGACAGGAGTTGGGCTTGGTTGCACCAAAAAGGAAGCGCTGACCGTGACGATGGCGGCCCAGGGCACGACACAAAGAAACATACTGTCCACCGAGAAAAATCGCCAAGGGCAAGAAATACGGCCCGCACACACACGCACACACACACACACACACACACAAAAAAAAAAAGCATTGCCCTGCGACGTACCCAACCCTGTTTATATATGTGGCGATTACATTCAGGACCACTCAATGCTGACGGGCATGCTGAAAAACCCGCAGTGCGGAAGAAGAGCACCCAGCAGTGAAATCAGAAGAACGCAGCAAGAAGAGCAGCGGCAACGCAAAAGACGTACCTCCGCTGGGCCTCCCAGGAGCCCACAAAAGTGGCGACAATTGCGCAGATCGCAGACCCCCAGGGCGCCGCGAGGTCTCGGGTTGGCCCGCGTGGGACGTACTTCCGCTGGGCCTCCCAGAACCCACGAAAGTGACGACAATTGCGTAGATCGCAGCCCCCCAGGGCGTCGCGAGGTCTCGAGGTGGTCCGCGTGGGACGTACTTCCGCTGGGCATCCGGGCATCCCAGGAGCCCACGAAAGTGGCGACAATTGCGCAGATCGCAGGCCCCCCAGGGCGCCGCGAGGTCTCGAGGTGGTCCTCGTGGGACGTACCTCCGCTGGACCTCCCAGGAGCCCACGAAAGTGGCGACGGTTGCGCAGATCACAGCCCCCCAGGGCGCCGCGAGGTCTCGAGGTGGTCCGCGTGGGACATACCTCCGCTGGGCCTCCCAGGAGCCCACGAAAGTGGCGACAATTGCGCAGATCGCATCCCCCCAAGGCGCCGCGAGGTCTCGAGGTGGTCCGCGTGGGACGTACTTCCGCTGGGCCTCCCAGAAGCCCACGAAAGTGGCGACAATTGGGCAGATCACAGCCCCCCAGGGCGCCGCGAGGTCTCGAGGTGGTCCTCGTGGGACGCACCTCCGCTGGACCTCCCAGGAGCCCACGAAAGTGGCGACGGTTGCGCAGATCGCAGCCCCCCAAGGCGCCGCGAGGTCTCGAGGTGGTCCGCGTGGGACGTACCTCCGCTGGGCCTCCCAGGAGCCCACCCGCGAGGTCTCGAGGTGGTCCGCGTGGGACGTACCTCCGCTGGGCCTCTCAGGAGCCCACGAAAGTGGCGACAGTTGCGCAGATCGCAGCCCCCCAGGGCGCCGCGAGGTCTCGAGGTGGTCCGCGTGGGACGTACTTCCGCTGGGCAGGAATGACCACACCTTCGCTGTGGCGATTCGGATGCAGTGGACCACCCCTCCGCCCCCGGTGAGCGGGCGGTGGCCTGGGGTATACCGCCATGGTGTCCTATTGGTGTCCCGTTGGTGTCCCATCGGTGTTCTGTCGGCGGTGGGCGGGCGGTGGCCGGGGGTGTCCCGCCTTGGTACAGATAGTGAAATCAATGGTGAGATACTTAATGAGATCGCTAGAATGGGATGAATAATGGCATCAAAGGTGTGATCGACATTGAAATTGATTGTAATTTCGCTTGTGAGATAGAAAACGGGACGATAGTGACATTACATCGCAGCGCAACATCGTCATCACGCGTCGTCGCTACATCGAGGGCGCGTCACCAGCATCGTCATTATCACACCCGTCGCATTTGCCAGCAGTTGTTTTCCCCCCCACCCACCCCCAAACCCCCTTATCACCCGAAAGGTGGTCGTACAGGTATGGTGTGAGCACGCGCATCGGTACCAGCTTGCCCGCGAATGTGGCATGCGCCGCACTCGAATGATCGCCCATCACAAGGTCCGAGGGGAAGTGGCGTATGGGCCCAGCGCATGGAAGCACACGCATATCCTCAAGTGTCTCAACGAAAATGCAAATTGCACACCATGATACCTCCAGCCAGTTCTCTGGGACGTTTTTCCGGGGAACTGTGCCACCAGATAAGTTTGTCCACGCTCTCGCTCCCTCCCAGCTCTCGACATCCCCAAACTTGCGTACCCCACATTTTGGAAGAGGAAAACAAGGGAGGAAAGGAGGAAGGAGGGAAGAAGGGGAGGGAGTGAAGGAGGGGATGAGGAGCAGGGGCAAGAATAACAGAAGGAAGAGGAAAACGATGGGGCCGCGGCGGCAGCACGGCTCCAGGCCCAGCCGAAGCCCAAGCCTGAGGTGATGATGGGCGATATGCCGAGCTCCATCAGGCTGCCACGGTTGGACGCCAGGATCACCCGCATCCAATCCGCACCGCCCCACGCATGGGGGCAGAGGGGGGAGGGCGCACGGCCTTGCCACAACACCACGCGTCGATTCTGCTTTCCGTCTTGCGCCTGCTGCTTCCACCCACCCAAGACCTCTCCCCCCTGCCCGTCTTCGACCGAGCCCCTCTCTTCCCGATGGGAAGGCAAAGAGATGAAGAGAGGAGGCGGGGACATGGAGGTGGGTGCGAAGCGGAGGGGCGGGAAGGAAGGCAGGAACGAAACAAAGGGGAAGAAGGGAGGACAACAGCAGATGGAACAGGGAAGAAGCGAAGGAAGGAATTAGCTTCCGCGTAGGACCCGGTGGATAGATGCCCTGGGCTGAATCCGCTGGCATGTACCGAAGCCAGCACGAAACTGTAATTCCCCGACCCAACGGGCCAAAGACATGCAACAATCTCTGGCAAAACGTTCAAAACAAAGGCTGCCTATTTTGCGCGCGCGTGGCGGCCTGTGCGGGCCCGACACGGGCAAGAATGCCCTGGGCAAGACACGTGAAGGTCTGGGCCAGGCCCGGGCCACGGATGCTGGAACTGTCGGGCGCGGCCACGGGGTGCCAGTTGAAACAAGCGCAACAACGTCGCATCGTACATCGCAAGCTGCATCAATGAATGGTACATGATGGGATGCAAAGGTGGGTCGAAAAATCGGAAGTCCTTCTCCGCTCAAATAGGCCGCGCGGCTGCGTGGCGTCAGGGAGGGCGCGTGCGCATTGAGCCAAGACGGCAGAGGAGCACGCGTCGTGCCCCCCTGGACGTCTCCTTTTAGTCGGGGAACGGGGAGACCGCGCTGAAATTTGCCGCCCTATACACGCTCAAGAACAACGCAAAACAATGATTCAGTGCGTCGGGCAAGACGGCCCGACAAAATTTGCACACGCAATCCACGGGGGGGCGCGGGATAACGAACCCGACAAGGGTTGAACCCAAACGGACCCGTTCCCCGAACATCGGGCGCATCAAAGGCCGAGTGGCCTCGAGGCTGGATGTCGAGAGCTACCTCCGCCGACGCGTGATGGCCTCCATCTGCAACGCATTGAAAGATGGAATATCCTGGTTCGGTTCCGAGCAGAGGACGGCGCCTGCAGCGACAGGCGCTCGCGCGCAGGCGACCAGAGACTCAATATCGCCCACATACAGACCAACGCAAATCCTCACGCAGCACTTCTATTCAGGTCTGTCGGTTTCGTCTCTGGGTGGTTTTCATTCAAAAGGCACAAAAGGATTTGGCATCATTCTTGGACTAGAATTCTCCGAATCACTTCCAATATGAGGTCGAGATCAATGCTTCTCTCGGCGCGGCCACCAGCAGTCATGTCCCGCGCGGCACATCTCTGCAAGCTGTGTACAACACCTATAAACATGAGCTCGCGTATCCAGCTCACATGGCAGATTGGCGCGCTAGGTAATAAGATCCCCACATTGTACTCAACCAGG